TTATGAAAGAGGTTGAAACTTAGAAAGCCAGCGAGAAAAAGAGAGACAAAGGGAAAAGAATTCTTCACGGTCCTCAAAGTATTTTCAAACGGTCCTCCAAACGTGTCCGTCCGTCTGTCCATTCAATTTCCAAGTCGAGTTACATCGGACCCCGACGGCCCCGCGTCCAAGGAGCGACGGGCAGGTTGACGTTTTGTGTCGAGCCACCCGCTGTCGTGTCCCTTCCCAGCGATTTTCAGTGGAAAGGGCGAAATTCTATGTTACCTCGTCTCGTTGCGCGCGCGTACACCCGCATGACCGTGGCCAAGGGCCGGCGAAATGGACGTAGGTCAGTTATGCGAAAGCTGCTGCCGCGCGTGATAAAATCGCCCGCGTCCGCCGACGCCGTCTGTAAATATCATTTATTTCCGTCATTATCGCGCGCGCGCGCGCGCGCGCGCGTGTATGCAATTAATTAGGGATGTATAATGCATGAACGTCTGCATTAACGCCGATGGCAGTCTCTCTTTTCGCACACGGCGCATGCGAGAGGAGCCCGCGATAAAGGCGGCTCGCTGCGTGAAATCAGTTTCGCACGCAGCACACGTTCATCTCGCAATCGCTATAGCGGTCTGAAAATGAGATTATGCTTATTGTCGTTATTGTTCTTCGTACCGGAAGAACGCGGTGTTACGCTTTTCCACGGAGAATCGCGTAGATGAGTAGGAAAACGTATTTTTCAGAGGCCTATTAAGGTCTCGTTTCATTTCGTCTATTTTGGTTTTTTTTTTTTTTTAAATTACTCTCTCTTGATAGATGCATCATTAGTATTTTATTTGTTACTGAAATTTTTTCCTACGTGAAAGTTTTGTGGACGAAGCGCTGTTTTCATATTCATTCGCTGAAATAGTAATCATAATGAAAAATTACATATGTATGAAATTCTTTTAGATTTTCTTTTAGATTCTTTAAATTTTTATTTAGTTCTTTTATTAAGTCTTATAATATACATAAATATATAAATATACACATGCACACATAAATGGAGAAAGGATATTTTTGTTAACAAATAAAAAATTTCGCTAGATATAGATCTGGTTTAAAATAATTTTGTTGGACCTTCTAAATTTTTATGTACGACGTTCAAATTGCTTGCTAATAGATTACAAATTTTTGCAGTATTATCATGTTTAAGTGTACATGATAATCTTAATGATTCAACAAAATTATTTTTAGTATGACCAAATTATTTGTTAGCAAAACTCTTTTTTCCGTATAATATTTCACCAGCGACGGATAGAGAAAGAGCAGAAAGGAAGATATTTTCATTTTTCAAAACATATATTTATAATTGTTATCTTATCCTATATTTGGAGTACTTTAGAAATCATTAACTTTAGATTCCATTAACAATTAATGAGAATGTAGTTGTCCCCAGGTATTTCGAAATAAGAATTTTAAGAAAACACATAATTGAGCCAAACAACATAAAAGCTAACTCAGGTCTTAGTACTAAATTTTGTTTATAATCAAGAATAAAATATTAAAAAGTACAGACATCGTTTCGATCTTACACCTTCAATGTAATTATAATAAACAATATTTAGCACCAAGGCACTCTTAGCTTTTACGCTTTTTGATTCAGTTATTTGTTTTGAAATTCAAATAAGCATTTCCTCTTTAAGATTTTAATTTTACGCATTACACATCAGAGAGAGAGAGAGAGAGAGAGAGCCTCTTTTACAATAATTTATGCGCGGGGGACAGTGCGCAGTCGGAACTCGTTGCGGACAGCTTGAAATTCGGGACGGATGATTCAATGGGCGAGGAATGAAAGACGAGTCGATAAACGACATTGCGTTTCTCTCTCCGCCAGCGGGCGGAGGCCTCGAGAACTAACTGACTTACGCTTACGCGTTGCGTAAAACGCGTGCTATCGTTACGTGGAGAGGTCAGTGTCTCTTTCTCTCGACGGGGACATCGTGATTCGCGGCGTGACGGACGCCGCCCGAAATATCCACCAGGCGGAAAGTCGGGAGAGGAAGATCGACGATCGGCCGGCTTTATCCGGATCGCACGAGAGAACGCGCCGCCGGGGAATCCGTCGTTTTTTCCTCGTTTTCGACCACTTTATAGCCGACCGGATAATTTACGGCCGCAGATACGCGCGATGAAACGGCCGCGAACGCGGATTTTTTGCGCGGAGACACAGCGGAGCTGTGGCCTGTTCGTGAATGCGAGGTGGGAGACGCGTGCTCGACAGTTTTTAGCCCACTTTTTCGGGAGGCGGTACAATAATGCGGAAAATTACAGGATAAAACGCGCCATTGTTCGCGCACGCATTAAACCGCGTGTTTTTGTGTTCTATTTAGTCGTAAATCCGGCTGTTTGATCTTTGTCTCACGCCTAATGGCGAATGGATTCGACATGACAAACGTAAATTTAATGTAAATCAAAGAAGCTTTTATGCCCATTCTACCAATGTAGATTAACTCTTTAACCTCGGTTTAATTTATTTCTTACCTTTTCCTAATCCTAAAACTAAGAAAAAAGTGTAAAATGTAAGCTAAACTGGCAAGTCTTGGGAAACGTCGGACGATTTTTCTTAAATTTTTTAACGTCGGTTTCTTTTTAATGTCAAAACATGAAGAAATCTGTCATTAATTTTAGATTGACTTTTTTCAATTAAAGAAAAAGATTTTTCGGAAATAAATAAAAAATATTTAAAAATTTACTTGTGAGATCAGTGTTAATTTAATTCTATGTTGGTATAAATCTATATAATTATCATTGTCTCTAATCACGTACAAATGACAATAAAATATTTATTAGCGTGATACAAGAAAACAAGAATATTTTTGACTTTCACTCTCGGACGCACACAGAACAGTGATAATCCGCCGTGAAAATTAAATTAAACCGCCGTTACAAAATTCGGAAATAAATTTCCCAAAATACACACCTTTGCGTCGCTCTGCGTCACTCGCGTGTGTTTCCTCCCGCATCTCTCGATTTGCCTGCAAATTGCCGAAAACGGGTCGTCGAGTCGCTGATACCAGAGCCCCCTCAAACGACAGCGAGGGGAGGCGGCCGAGCCGATTGCCAATGTCTGGGCCTGTAATTAGGTTTGCGTTGGTGTGTAACGTCATTACTCGGTAAGCTTGCAATTTCCTCGTGGCCGCTGCCGCCGCCTCTTGTCGTCTCCGACCGATTCCCTTCGTGGCGTTTCGCGGTCACCACGAAAGCTGTTTACTTGTAGACCGAGAGCAATCGACCGACCACCGGACTTTGCTCGCTTGGAGAGCCGGAGAAGGAAGAAGGATGCGCGTGGCGAAATGATGTGGACTATTCGGATAAACTGTGCCATCGTTTTGTAACAGAGCGGCGGGGGGTGTACGCGAAGTTTCTGCCAGCGTAATGATTAGCGGTTAGATATTGTACAACCTTCTTCTCGAGTGGAGAACTTAGAAAAGCGAGACATTACGCTGTTTTAAGTACGGTGTAGTAGGTGGGGATATCGCATTAAGAACATTTACGTCGCCGTAACAAATCATGTAACGTCGTCTTGTTACGAACCGCCGACGGTCGGAGAATATTCAATTTCTGACAGCAGATTTAAAAGATACATGTATACATGATTTTGCTAAATATGTCTGAAGCTGGTTTATCAATTTTTAAAAATAATAATAGTAATTTTCTACAATTAAAAAAAAGTTCCGCATTTTTAATAAAAATTGAAATATAAAATGTATGAAGTTTCAAAAACAGTTTTCTCTAAAGAAGCTATCGAATTTACAATACGCATTTACTAAAAAATAAAAAGTTTTTCCTACATTATTATTATGTTTAAATGTCTTACATAACTAGTTTTTTGTTACAACGACAAATTAGCCTTCAAATCTGTATCTGATCAAATCTTCAGATATTTCAACAAAATCGTTCTTTTTATATTTATTATCTTAATGATTTGTTATAAAAGATATTTTGATATCGCTAGGCATTAATTCTAGCTCCTGAGGCTTGTCTAGAAAAAAATTTCTCACATTTTTGTCCATTATCCATTGATGATCCATGACATTTATTAAACGAAGAAATTTGTTATTTCTTGATTCTAAAAGATATAGCGTGATATAAATGTAATACATATTTTGTCGGTGTTACTAAGGCAGAGTTTTATAATCTAGATATTGTGTAATAATGCGTGGCTCAGCATAAGAGTGAGATATAGTCGGCTAGATTCCAGATTCGATCCCGACCCTCATCCCACATGTATGGGATTTTCAAAAGACTGGTTATTAATACCGTGCTTTCCAGATGATTAGCAGCTTTGGAAGTACATTAAATAAATATAAAAAAAAATTGAGCGAGACTATAGTAACAATTTTTATGTTTACAATGGAAGACTTTCGATATTTAGTGGGAGACAAAGACGAATGATTTCTATATCAAGTTATCTCTTACTGAAAGATACCTTTGTATTATCTTGAGAATATCTCGTAGAGAGATTATAATCTTCAGTATTGAGACATACGACTAGAGAAAACGTGCTATATGATTGAAAATATATATAATTAAAATCAATGTGAAAATAAAATTCTTTTTTTTTTTTTTTTACAAAGAAAGATAAGATATAAATATAATCTTTCTCTTATAATTGCCCTATGTTTGTCTCTGTAATAAATATTGTTTAAACGATCTGAAAATTTGATAATTTTATAATGATCTGATTTGAAAGTTTAATAATTTACATTCTATAAATTTAAATTCACTTAAAATATCCTTAAACTTTTATATCATTGCTTAAACTCTTAATTAAAATTTAATAAACCTTACTCTAGTATCTAATAATCATGCTATATAACGTTGATTTTTAAACACTGAGCTAATAGACGGCAAGATAAGTGGAAATTCCAAATTCCTGCTCAAGGAAAAAAAAACTTCGACGTTTCGCGAAGGTGAATTTTCTCCCTCGAGGGTTTTTCCCTTACGATCTACTTACATTGTCGCGTCTTCACGTGTTGCAGTGGCGTCGCGGTGTCTTGCGGGGAATGCAGCAGCAGCGGCACCAGCGATATCACGGAACCGGGCTCGCCGTGCAGCACCAGCAGCGACGAGGGGGTAGCCGCGATACGCGGCACGTCCGCCAGTCCGCTGCCGTCCCTGCCCAAGCTGGCGCCGTCGTCGCAGCTCGGCACCAGGCCCCAGTGGCCCTGGACCCGCCGTTGGCGGCGACCGCCTGCTCCACCACCGCGTACAAGAGGCTGAGGGGCGAGCCGGAGGCTGGCGCCCTTCCGCGCTCCGGCGCCGCCGATCCCACCTCCAGGGGGGCGGTCAAAGGGAACGGAAAGACCGCGGGCGGCCAGCACCACCACGAATCCCAGGGCAAGATCACGGAGTACTTTAAGACTCAGATTAAGCCGCAACAGCCGAAGGTTGGTACGAGGTGAAAAATAAAAGTAATAAATGTGTCAAGAGGACTACGAGTATTTTAAACGAAGTAATGGGACAGAGAAATAAGTCTCCCCCCTCCCCCCGTTCCCCCTCGTCTTCCCTTGATCAGAGCCTGGAAAAGTCATGTGAAATGGATAACAAATGAGTTTTCAATTACCATAGATACCTAGCTTTCAATCTCTTTGTATTCGAAAGAAATTCTGTACGCTTTGAGTCACGTTTGGTTAGGTTTCGAGAAGTTCGAGATTTGACCTGCAGTAGTTAGTTTGTTTGAACAGGTCGGTACAGTTCAGTCCAGTAAGAGTTGTATCAAATTCTGAGATTTTTCATGGATTTCGCTTTCGAAATCGATAGAAGATGGCTCTTCATTTGATTTAAACTTTGGTAAAATTTTTAATTTAAGGACTGTAAAAATATGCGAAATTGATTTTGCGCGGTGTGCAAGAATCCCCATTTATTTATTTATCATACGATATTTGCTTTACGACTTATGTCATCTGAAGTAAAAGTCTAAAGGATGCTCGCTCCTTATCTAATCGTAGCTTCGATAGAATTTTAATTCGAGGTATACAGGAATATATAAAATTAACTGTTGTAAGAATATACAGTTAGCGATATCTGATTTGCGATTTGTGGAAATCAGCTGGACTTAAGGTAAAGCGACGGAAGAAAGTGCTTCTTAATTGATTAAAATTAATATTGTGACGGAAGTGTTGAAGATATCGATCAGTTTTGCTTCGCGCGAACACTTCAGATACAGGCTCGCCTTATCGGCGTTTATCGGATATTGAATTAGCCTTTTTTAACAAATCCACGTGTGTAAAGAATGGCCTTTTCCAATAGATGATATTAATTCGCGGAAACTGCTCTCATTCTATCGATCGTTAATTTAACGTGGCACGTATTCGATAATTCGCACTCACGCTGCATCGCATTTAACGCTAAATGTATCTCGTCATCCGTTTATATTACAAGAATAAAATTATTATATTCGGCAAAACAAATTGCTGCTTGCATCACAGTTGTGAAAAACAAGAGGCGAAACGAATTATTCGATTGTCTGAAAATTTAATTACATGTAGAATGTTTAAACGTCACAAATAGTATGTTTAAATGTAACAAGAATACAACAAAAATTTTGGATTTTTTTATCAATTTTTTTTATCAATTAATTCTACGTTATTTCGATAATCCAACCAAATTAGTTTTAGATTTATGTCCAATTAAATTTTTATATACTTTAACAGAACCCTTCATTTCATGATTTTGAATAAAAAAGTAATACGATTGATCAACAGTATGATTTTTTATCTTGCTAGATATCTATTTTAATTTTGTAATTATGAAATATTTAAGTTACGGCAATAAATGCTGCAATTTTTGCAACCAGTTTGAACCTTCTACATAATTAGTTTAATGACTCAATAGAATTTTTTTCAGATCTGTATCTGAGGAAATTTTTAGATACGTCAATAAAACTATTCTTTTCGTAAATTTAAAATTTGGGATTTTACAGAGTATTTTATAATCTAACATCTTACAATAATTAGACGAGTTGAATTCCTTCTGTCTGGATGACTTTCGGTATTGTTATTATCGTGACCCAAATAATAGATACTTTTAGCGCCTTTATTGGTTTTTTAATGTTAAAATGTTTATCAGAAACTGTCGATTGCGCCGTATAAATAGTATCTATTATTGGCTTATATTATTTAATGAATATTAGTGAAGTTACAAAGAAGTTTAATACTTTTTCCATAAGAAATAAAAGACGTCTTCGTCGAACGATTTTTTATGAAATTCCTTACGGAAAAAATGAGTTATTATTTCAACATTTTTGACCTTTAATGTTTTAGTAAGATACCTGAATAAATAATACCGATGTGTCACGTTTCTATTGGCAGATAAAGAAAACGAACGAGATGGTGCTGGTGGCAAAGAATTCGTCAGAATTTCGTAGGCCACCAACGGTACAGAGGAATAAGGGCGGTCTCGCTAAATACTTGGGCACTGTATCGTCTAACGCAAATCGCAATACCATCACCAATGAGCGCTGGGAACTGAGAACAACGTCGTCGATGGTTACGAAAAAAGTACCGCTGGTCATCGTGCCAAGGACCAATGGCAAGATAGATAAGAAGCTGCCGAAGCCGCTGCCAAGTCTGCCAATCTCGAACGAACTGAAAAACATACCCAAGATCTCATCCCTTAGGTATAGATACTTGATTCCATATTTGCGGCACGTTAATGCAAAAACGCTTAACTAATTAGTATAGTCGTTCGCTAACGCATATGAAGATTTCCCAAACGACATGCGTGTCTAAAAGACGTCTTCAAGACGTCTTTTAGACTTTTTCAGAAGGCGTCCTAAGGACGTCTTTTAAGACTTTCCGTGTAGTTTGGATTTTGTCTAATTCACCAAAAAGGTGACATTATTATGTTTCTAGTTCAAAAAAAAAAGAAAAAAGAAAATGGATCGTGGTAAGTAAAAGCGGTTTTCTGATTAATGGCCGCTTTTTTAAATTTTTGTAACAGACTAACTTCGGATACGAATATCAATTCGGCCAAGGGCAGCTCCCCGCCCGCCACCGTCGCGTCATCGCTACTGGGCGAACCGCTAGACTTCAAGGCTATCCTGACGAAACCACACGTGAACGAAAACAACAATTTGACGAACAGCTGTGAGAGCATCTTGGGCGCGCTGAGATCGCAGGGTGGTCATGACTCTCCCATCTCAAGGTTGTCTTCGCCGTCGAAGGTGGATAGTAAGGATGAAGATGGCCAATCGGCGCCAGTCGATGAGGATGACGTAGACGAGGAGGACTCCCGTGGCAGCGAATCGAAACCGTCACCTATTCTCTCAGCACCCACTACCATCCGGTTTCCGGCACGAGCACCCGAGAAGGACAGACCGCAGGCTACTGACAGCGGGATCTGCCGTTGGGATAAGTGCGAAGCCAGCTTCGAATCCGTAGGAGGTCTTTTAGAACATTTACAGGTACAGAAGAAAGATCTTTGAGTCTCCAACTCTGGCAGAAAATATCGTAGCGATCAATAACCTTGCATTTCTTTTTTTGAAAAACCTCGTCATTGTTGATGTTAGCAATATATAAAATTTAATGCATATCAGTTTATTATTTTCAAAACAAGTCATAATTTATCTTATTCTTTTACTCGTACTTTTCAACTTTGTATTCCTTATAAATATATACCTTAAATATAATAAATTAACTTAAATAGACATAAAATAAAAATGAAATTTATTGTTTAAGATTGCTTTTCCAAGAATTCATCATCATTCCGATTTTTTTATGTAAAATCTAGTTTTCATATGTAATTTATATTGCCATTTTTTACAGGCTGATCACATTAACACGCAAACCGGCAGCGACAATTTCGTCTGTCACTGGCAGGGATGCAAGGTACAAGGTAGAACTTCATGTTCTCGACGATGGCTGGAGAGACACGTTCTGTCTCATGGCGGTAACAAACCTTTTCGATGCATCGTCGACGGTTGTGGTTGCAGATTCAGCTCTCAGGTAACGCGTTTTTGTCATTAGCTCTGTCATTAGCTTTTCCTAGCTTGAGGAAATGTTGGGAAACTAATCTGCTTTCGTTTGCAGACCGCCCTTGAAAGGCATGTGAATGGTCACTTCAATCAGCCAGAAACGAACAGTAACAACGGCAGACGTAGTTGTGAAAATGGCGGTAAACTCGTTAGGAGGAATGGCAAGAAATTAAGATATAGGCGGCAACCTTGGTCTGGTAAGTATCATTTCATCGCGTATGTCATTCTATATTGATTAAAATTTCCTTTCTTTTTGGAAACATTTTTTATACGTAGATTGATATAAAAAAAAGATGAAACATTATTAATATTGCGATATTTTTACAGCGAGACTTTTTGATTACTTTGATTCGGGAGTGATGGAGGGTCTCCAGCACAGGCTATTGGAACTAGCAACATCGAGGACGCAGGGGCGACTAGCTGAAACGCCAGGAAACTCGATGGCACTAACTAGTCAAGTAGGTTACATGTTAAATTATTATGTTGCACAGTTAGCATTATAAAATTCCCAGAGATTTATTTTAATAAAATTTTTCTTCCAGGTTTTAGCGAGAAGAGTTGAATTGGATGGGAAGACAAAGGTACTACTACGATGGTATCCCCAAGATATGTAAGTTATCGTGTACAAATAAAACTTTAATACGCATAATATCCGCAAGACTCATGATTTATTCTTGTTGTTATTTCTTCTAGAGAACCGGATGAATGGGTACTAGAATCCGAAATGCAAAGAACGAAGCATGTAGGTATCCGTAAAGCGGCGGCTAGTAACCCAGAAGAAGTAAGTTTGGCTCTCTACCCCGCGATAAGCGGTCGCGCGCCGCCATTGGCGCGAGCGAAGCAGCGCCGGAAGCCTGTAAAGAACTCGTGATAATGTCGGCCAAATCGGCCGGATACCAGAACTGACCTAACGAGCGCCGACACCTGAACTAGAGAAGAACAGAGTGCTGCCGCTGACACGAGCACAACAAGGTCTATAATCGCTTCCTGGTCGGTGAAGACAAAGGCCGTGACGATGCGACCTGAAATACCCGAACGTATCGAGAGAGAGAGAGAGAGAGAGAGAGAGAGAGAGAGAGAGAGAGAGAGAGAGAGAGAGAGACGAGAGACCGCTTTAGAAAATAACTAATTTAGATGAACGACCAATTCTTACTCGGATCGATTAGAAAATAAGAATTGCAGCGTCAAACGAAACGGGAGATAAATCGCACGGGAGATAAATTCACGATGAATCATATAGTAATGAGAACGAGGGACACAACTAGGAGGAACAAATGGGAACGACTATCCATCCGTTTTGGGAACGGGAGCATTACTCAGCATTGAGTATATTCTTCGTCGTTATTCGTTGACGGGTACATCTACTAACGCTCTAATTCTACGCGAATCCCTGCCACGAGTACCTCGCATATTTCGACGCTCGTCGGCTTCGGAAGCGCTAAGTCTGGGCCTCAAAAGTGCCTCACCGTGGATACGTTTTGTACCGTCTTCTACCGCCGATCAAGATCCCAGGGATACGGACGCGTGGTGAAAACGGTAGACAAAGACAAAAAGCGGAAAAAAGAAAGAAAGCAGTAGAGGAGCTTTTACGTATTTGGTTTTGCCAAAGGAAACAGAGGGAGCGCACAGACAAAATATTTAAGCGGTAGTTAACAATTTATAAGGAGATAATCACTCTGGTGGCCTTAGGATTCAATTAATATCTAACATCGGCCCCTTGGCACTTCCGGGAACTGATGGTATCTTTGCGATCTTCGACGATGCCTCGACAAGAGAAAGAGAAGGGAAAAGAAGAAAGGAGATGCGTCTATCTCGATTTACAGCTCGGTAGAAACTCGCGTCGGCTGTTGTCGATGACATCAAGAGGACGAGAAGGAAGAGACACGAGAAGAAGGAAGAGGGATCGTGGACAGCGCGGATGCGGAAGACTGTATCGGGACTGTATGAAAGACGAGAGAAGATTGGGGAATGGGATTTAGGCTGTTAAGTGAGAGCGCAAAAGTGTGAATGATGTGTATGCGTGTAAAAGGGAATGAGTAATTATGCTCCGAATTCGCCGTTATTTCCCTGAATGGGGTTGACAGTCTCCCAGGCTTGACAGCTCGGCAAATGAAATCGAAAGATTGCGAATAATTGGACGACATGTGTGTCACCGAGATTTCTATCGAGAATTATATCTCTTCGTTCTTCGTAAGGACGGAACAGAGAAGCAATGTACAAAACAAAATTAAGGAAGAGAGTGATTCTCAAGGCCCGAGGCATGCACGAGCCGGTTCTAAGAGAGACGGTCGGCGTCCAGCTTGCCTCGTTTCCGCGCCCGAGACGTGTTCGATTTTTCGTGTACTTCATTGTCGCGTTATTTTTATCTTTCTGCTGAGTTTCGTGCGGCATGTTGGCGTACGCTCGTTACGTTAAAGAGAATATCAGATTTAATCGAGTGCCAAGATAATCAAAAACGGAAGTAGGTGAAACATGCTGCGCGACCGCAACCGATGAGCTGTTATCCTCAAAAGGGGTAAATTACGTAGGCTGTGTTACATTATCCACAGACTTGTTAAGCGAGGATCATCCCGAACGGAATGAACAAAGAGAGCGACGCGCGCGGCGTCGCTGCTCCTGCGATTCGCGCGCTTGGTTTATCGCGGTCGTAAATGAACGAGATGATTAATTAATCTCGCGACCGCGAATATTCTTCGCGGAGAGAATCGCTGAGCAGAAACGCTACGCGCGCGTGTAGGGAATAGAACTTCATGTAATTTAAAGCATGCGAAGGAGAGACGGATATATGTCATGTCATGTGTGTTAAATGATTATGAGAGTGATGACGAAATGAATATGAGAGTTTGACGAAGAATGAACGAGAGAATAGAATGAGGGATCGAGCGCCTGAACAGAAATGGAGATTGTATGAGACACACAGACAGACAAAGACGGAACGTCATTACATACACACCAGCTAAGAAACACTGCCAATATGATTGTAATTAAGAGCTCTACGATATAATTAATCAATTAATTATTCTTATTATTACTATAAAGTACGATCGTAAGTGTGTAATCGAATAGATCTCTAGCTGACGTGCGAGGATGCATGTAATAAGAAGCGGCTGTTCCAAAAAACGTGTCGTCGTTGTTACGTCCACTTCACGGGATACGATGTTTTAATGAATGACAATTAATTTTCTTTAAACTGCTCGTGTGGGGGAGGGGGGCCATGTCCCGTGGCGTGACGCATACACGACGCGTTACGAGGTCGCGTGTTGTAAATGTAAATACTTAGTTGAAATTATCGTAACGAAACGGCATATTTACACGAATCCTGTACTCGCAGCCGCTTGTCACTCATCGCCGCTGAGGCAAGCCGCTCGCGAGTACCGAAAGCTATATAAAAAAAAAAAGTATATCCGTTGATTTTTGAGCACAGCGTTCCCGCGAGGGCGACACGCACACGACGGCGAAGGCGGTGGATCCTTCCTTTCTTTTGAAGGAGCCGAGAGATCGACACCGGAATAATGTAAACGCGTCACTGCCAGAATCACGCACTGCCAGCCCCCGTCGCTCTAACGACGCGCCTCTAACGTAGTATCTCTCTCTATTGCACGAGCATATATTCGTTCATATCGTGCTTCTAACAATCAACTCGTTCGTCGGCTCTTGTCTCTATACATACATACATACCTATATACATACATACATACATACATACATACATACATACATACATACATACATACATACATACATACATACATACATACATACATACATACATACATACATACATACATACATACATACATACATACATACATACATACATACATACATACATACATAACATACATACATACATACATACATACATACATACATACATACATACATACACATACATATATACGTACATACATACACGTGACACGGTTCTAGCCACAGCCATCGTTCCCGGATTTACATTTTTCGAGTGTATATCGTCGTTCCTAAGGAAAGATTCATTAACATGATGCTTCGTGAATTTATTTGAAAAAATTATATAACAAATTAAATGTAGTTTTTGCGTTTGAAAGACATTTGTGAATTTGTGGATTTGAAACAGATAATTATTCGCGTTCGTAAAGGGACATCAATGGGAAGAGGTCGTTTATTTTTAACTTAAAAAATTAATTACTTAATTTATTAGAGCTCTCTTTAAGACCGGCGATATTCTCCAAGCGTTCATATATCGCGCACTGCCAAATTTCATAAAGCACGTTAATCCAAGGCACTGCCAGTGAGACGTACAGAACAGATGAATGTGAAAAGTGATATCACAAGCTCTGCCAAGGAATCCTGCCACGTGCGTTTTAAATCGATCCGAGTTTCATTGGGACGGCTCCTCAGTGCCATATGATCTCTCGTGAAAGGAATCGTCATGCGTTCTTCGCACGTGATCGGCACGTCCCGTTTTCGAGTCGAAACATAAAATATAAAAATGTAAGATTCAAAAGAGACAACAGAAGTGAGTAGTCCTATATGGAGAGTAATATCAATATATTAATATTATGATACACAAAATTTTGGAATGCATAAAAGCGTTTGAAATTTAGATTATTTTGCGAAGACTTTAAACATTTGTTGTTACTTTGGAATTAGGTCAAATCGAGTTTCTGGTATTTAATTCTTGCTTCTATTTTATACTTGATTGTCTCGATCATTCATACGTTTCATTATCTAACTTTTGTCCTTTCGTGGCGCGATTACCTCTTTCCCCCCCTTCCTGGCCGATTGTTACTTCTGTCTTTTAACCTTGCCTATTTCCTGTCACACGATCTCTGCTCATGTAAAACGAATCATCATTGTCATGATTGTATCGATTAAATGAGGGACCAACTTTTTGCGCACATGAGAACTTATATTATTTTTGGCACGAATAATCATTTCACGAAATATGTATTCTTTTTTGCAACCGACCAAGTAGATCGTATTGTGATGCTCTTTAGTTGATACGGAAATATTTAGACATAATTAGAGAAAAAAACTGAGCAGAGATTCCATTAGTCATTAAGTAATTCGCGTTGTTTCTTTTTTTATTCATTTTCGTTATGTTTCTCGTAAGTACAAAAAAGAGAAATAGCAGCAGAAGTAACTTTCGGCTACTTGATCGCGCTTGATCTCGTGGAATGGAAGAACCGTGACAAACAATAAAGAGTGAGAGAGAAAGAGAGAGAGAGAGAGAGAGAGAGAGAGAGAAGAGACAAGCATTCTTTAAAGGTTCTTCCAGTTATATTATTTACTTCTCGCGAATGTGAAATCAAATTCGTGCGGCTCAGCAATACAAAAATCAGAAAGAGGTACAAAAAATTAAAAATTAAGTTGCATGTTAATTTTTGATCCTATGCGATAAGTTTGCGAATATGTTTGATAGTTTTTGTATTGTATAATTATATAATTGGCGAATTTAATTCCGACAAGGTATTTTCTATTACGTTCCCTCATGCGTTATTTCTGTAATTAACTTTTTCTGTAATTAATCGCGGCTAGGATTTATATGTATATGCGTTCGTTATCACTAGCCAAGAGGACGAACCGATTACATTTAGTCGGAAGGAGTTTTACGCTATGGCGGCCGCGTTTTCGGCACACTCGAATTGACGGCGGTGGACGAATTTTTTTGTCAAAGATATTTAAAAGAAAAAAAATACATGTGGCCTAGCCACACGTACACACATACAGCTGTAGCGTCTCGTGTATTTATCATTATTCGTATCGGCCTGATGACAATTCTAAATTATTATCGATAATAAAAATCGATGTCGGATTTTTTATTATAATAATAATAATAATAATAATAATAATAATACGAAAGAGATGGAAGGCTGAAAAACAAGGGAGGCATGTGTAAAAGCAACGTAAAATGAGTTGTATAAGTTTTTTCGAGTAATGAAGTCTGACCTAAAATCATCCCATTTCTTTGACATCAAATGTTCTTTTTTTTTTTTACACATGTTCCATGTGATTTTCTTTTTATAGTATTAGATCAATCCACGCGATACTGCGCGATGCACTAAGTAATATGAGTGTACGTTTAAAGAAAACGTTGTAAAGTGTTCTCTAAGTTAATTAGGTCTGTATTAACGTTGAATATAAGAAAGAGCAAAAAATATAACGAAGCGAAATACGCGAATGCTTGTTCTTTTTTTCCTTTTCCGCGTTTTTGGAAAGAACTTCGTGGAACACACACGGGGAGAGAATGTAAACGCCCCCCGCACACATATACACCACATATACAACACATACATACACATTCATAAATATGTAGATTTACTTTGAGTGATGTGTATGAGAGCGTGAGAGAGAAAGAGAGATATTAGCTGTAATTAATATAGGACAGAAAATGGGCGCGAGAAAGGAAAAGAATGAAAGAGAAGAAATGCGAGAGAGGAATGAAGGAGGGGTACAGAAATTCTGTGGGCATCGTATTTTTGCAAAAAAATTAGAAGAAAGCGCAAACGAATGGAATACGAAAGAAATTCTTACCTGTGAGATTCTCCCTATCTACTTAACTAACGATTTAATCATAGACTTCACTGAATTAATTGTGCTAGTATATGCGATCATATGTAAGTATCCTTTTCAGAGAACGAGAATTTCATCTCTTTTTCTTTTTTCTCTCCGAATAAATTCACGCGAAAGGCTTGAGAAACATTCAGAATGCTCATTGCATAAATAGCTTTAGAAAATTGATAAAGATAAAAAAAAAATCAAGGAAAAACATGAATTGCATTCATCATTCGGACGTTGATTTATTGGTACTTAAAAGTAGATGAGAGCACGTGTGAATGACTCTTTCGCGTGAAATTTTGAAGCGTCCTGGAAAAGGCCGAGAGTACGGATTTCTACGATCGCATGTATACACGCTTGAGGATCTCACACGGCATTGACGAAAAGAGGAACGGGCGAGAATTGACACGTTACAACGTGCCGAGGGCTTGGTGCGGCTTTCCATTTTTCGTCGGGCTCGAACGTCACCGTACGTGGATGTAGCAGCGTGTCGATAGACGTTACAAGGCTTGTAAATGTATAAAGGAAAGAAAGCAGCAGCACACCGAGATCGGATGAAGCGCGGTCGCTGGCAAATATTGCTTTGAGTAGGCAGAATGGTGATTGAGAAATATCATTTTCGACCGCGGCTCGGGAATTGTGTACATAATTGAATGTGACGCGATATACAAAGGCTCTCTCCTCCCCCGCCCCCCCCCCTCTCCCCGAGATATGTGCATAAATATAGCTTATTACAGATATAGTGTTTGCATTTATTATAAATTCTATGTAAAAGCATGACGAAGAGTTCAAGCGATCGCGACGAGAGCCGCCTAAATTCTAGTTAGCGAAATGCCGATGAATTCACGTAATCAGTATTACAAACAACGTCTTTCTTCCTTCATTCCAAAGACCATTGTAAACTTTCGCGATTTTTTTTTATTGTTATTATTATTGTCCCGCGTATCAATCTTATTCTTATTTCGATTTTTCTATAAATAGTGTACGATATACGAAATATGTATTAGACATTCTTACCGTGCTTGCCGAGCCCTTTAACGATGAACGACATCTGACATTTGATCGCGCGGCCCCGCGAGATCGCTTCGGTTAGAGAGAAGTGCTTGTACTTGTATAAAAGTAGGAAAATATATTGCATATAGTTTAAACTAATATGGTTTATTAGCGTGTAGCGTGAAACTCGAAGTATATATACGCGCGGGACGACGAAAACTGGCGAGCCCACCTGTCGATTTAGCTTCATTACCTCGCGAGCCCTACAGATTCTTAAGAAAAATAGGGAGAGACAGAGATATTTCTCACGCTACGGACGAAGCGGCGAGGATCGAGCGCAGCAAATCACTTAAGACGCAGACCTGGCCTTTCGGACTTTCGGTCCGAAATAATTCGATCTCACGATTTCTCGCCGCTTCGCCGTGCTCGATGTTATGGTTCTCGTATATCCGACAAGACTTGACAAGACTCGAATTCGCGTAACGAAAAGGAGGGCGAAGGAGCGCGATAGAGAGAACACGGTTGTTTCGCACTGCCAAATAACAATAAAAAGAAAAGACAAATTGCGTTTCATTGTGTGGATCGACCGATCGTTGAAAGCACCGCCGGTGTTCATTAATCCACATAGTGGTTCTACGACGAAGGAAAAAAAAAAAATGCGGAGTAATATTTAAGAGAGGAGCGAAGCGCGCGGGAGTTTTTCCCGACGTCCGAGCGAATGAGAAACGAATAATAAGAGAGAAATATCCAAGTGTCGAACAGTGCTTTGTCTTTTTTGGATACTTTCATGTACAAACACGAATGACGGTTTATAGCTCAAGAACAGAACATTAAAGAGATAGATATTGTAAGAGAATAATAATAATTTCACGGTTGCGATATCGTATTCTGGTTTCTTCATTCTGACATCCTTAACATCCTGACATTCCGTCATTCTGACATTTTTAACATCCTGAAAATGATGGCAGCTTCCTAATCTTCAATCAAGTGATGTAACATTAATCCTCTTGTATCAGTTTATCAAATCAGTTTATTATTTATTTATCATTCTATACAAGTTGAGGATTTTTCTCATAACTGAAATCAAACGAATATAAATTATAAGATTTCTATTCGAAAATGAAATTAATTCAAAATCTTAAATATATTCCGAAAATTGAAAACGTGACTAATCATATTATTAATTTTTTTGTAAGTTATTTCTCGCAACAAAAATTAAATTTTTCGTTTTCAACTGTTCAATCTAATTAGCGTATGCGATATGGATCAAAGAACTTTTATTATTTAGAGAAATTTATGGAGATCTTAAAAATATAATTTAATGATTAATAATTTGAATGCTTAGAAAAAAATGTTTAGAGAATTACCGCAAATGTCAAGTCCAATAAATTTTATATAAAATGCAGGACGATGTTGTAGTGAAATCTAAATGCTGTATATAATTCATCAACAATCTATCACCCCTCAATCTATCCATACATCTTTTGAAACACCAGGATGAAGGTGAAGACAGAGCCTGAGGCGTTTTTAATTGAACATGATTGATTATTATTCATCGTCGAAACATTGCATGTACTTTGCAATTTACAATACAATACCTATAATACAAAATACTAATAGTAATTGCCTGATAATAATATTAATGATAGTGATAACTGAAATATGAAAAATGACGGAGGATAGGAAAAAAGAAAGAGGAGAAGGATGAGCGAGGGAGCAAGATTAAACGTAGGAATGTTAGACGATAATAAAGAGTGGATCCAAAAATTCAGTCGGTCGCAGTACAATTATCGAGTTACGGCTCTCGATGGCTCTTTCTTGGCACTTGCCGTTTTCACATCATGATGTACAGACTGTCTCGAGAAATGCATGTACAAATGTATTCTTGGTCTTCTTCATGAAATTTACCTCCGAAAGTTTTTTCAGGAAGATGAAATAATTGAAATTATTATTTGAAATTTATATATATATATATATATATATATATATATGTATATATATTAATTAATATAATTAACGTACGATAATACTAATACTACTTTCCTATTCTATCTGAAATTTAGTTCGATCGTGTATTTTACTATATAATAGTTAATAATTAAATTTTACTAAGAAATAAAATTACTACTTATTTTCGACACATTCTGTACCACACACATACATACACACACAACACACACACACACACAC